CTAAAGGTCCCCACACACCTTACGATAATCGTCCGATAATCGCGGGAAATCCTGCGATGGTACGATTATCGTAAGGTGTGTGGAAGCCCTGCGACCTCTACTACTGTAAGGTCGCACGACTTTAAACTTACGGACATGTTGGAAAACCCGCCGATGCGATGTTCGGCGGGTTTGTGGCATGTCCGTACGATAACAGCCGTACGGGCCGGTGTACGCAAGCGTACACTGCCCGTTCGGCATTGCGGTAATCGGAAGCCCGCCCCTCAGGGGGCGTGGCTTGCGATCATCGCAAGTACGATATGCCTATGCAAGATAGGCAGATCGTACGTTTTTTTAAGTACCTTACAACCATCGCAAGACAAAAGTCTTGCGATGGTTGTAAGGTGTGTGCCCAGCCTAACACATAAGCACTAAACACACATGCAATAACACACATACACTACACACATATGCACCACACACAAACTAAACACATATACACAAACTAATTACACATGGTGAACCCATATGCACTAACACACACTAAACAAATATACACTAAGGGTCCAGTCACATCAGCAGTTCACAATAATGCTGGTGTGCGGCCTGTTTGGAGCAGTGTGATGTATTGTTATGATGTATCACACTGTTTTATTTTTCTTTTTTTGTAACTTTATTGAACTGTCACAAATTGACGTTTCATTCATCTTTAAAAGAGAACTATGGGGTAAGTGTTTTTCCCCATAGTTCATTTTAGGGTCAAGGGAGGACAATTACTAGTGTCCCCCCGTGACCCAAAGCTCAGTATATTGCAGGCTATTGCCTGCGATATGCTATGAGCGCCGCAGCCGGAACGGATCCCGACATTGCTGTCCAGATCCACCCAGCTGCGTGAGTGACAGCTGGCTCCGCCTATCTAGAGGCAGAGCCAGCTGTGCCTGCCCCCTCCCCTATCCGGGGGAGGGGGGAATCCCTGCAGGGAGCCGTGACTGACATTCACCCCTTGTGCATGTTTCTGCTCACTTCCCGATCGATAGAGCCGGCCTGTGACAATTACTTTGTCACAGGTCGGCTCAGTAGATTGGGAGGTGAGAGAACACATACCGGGTTCCCTCACCTCTCGATCCTGTCATGGCTCTCTGCCGTGACAGGGGGAGGGGCTGGATTCCCCTCTCCGATCTGCCAGCGCTGACTGGCGGAACGGACGGGGGAGGGGGCGGGTACAGCTGGCTCTGCCTATCTAGAGGCAGAGCCAGCTGTACCCGCCCCCTCCCCCGTCCGTTCCGCCAGTCAGCGCTGGCAGATCGGAGAGGGGAATCCAGCCCCTCCCCCTGTCACGGCAGAGAGCCATGACAGGATCGAGAGGTGAGGGAACCCGGTATGTGTTCTCTCACCTCCCAATCTACTGAGCCGACCTGTGACAATGAGACTGTCACAGGTCGGCTCTAACTCTGAGGATGAGTGGAAATCACTCATCTCATAGTTCTCCTTTAAGCACTGCAGCGTGTTGTGATGTGTTGCAGCACTGTGTAAAAATGGAGCAGTTTTTTTTGTCAACTGAAAATAAACTGAACTAAAAGGATATAAGGCAAACTGTCTTGTCTATGCTTTGGGCAAGAGCAGCCCAGTGCTTATTGGAGATGAATAGGCCCTAACACACACACATATACACACACTAGCCACATATACACTAAACACATATGCATTAACACAAACAAAACACACACAA